GAGAAGGAAGTAAGGGAACAAGCATTTATTAAGCATCTACTAATGTCCCAGCCTCTGTGCTAAGTGCTTTACAAATAATATCTCATTCAATCCTCACCTCTGAGATAGGTGCTATTTTGTGTGTGTGTGTGTGTGTATACGTATATACATATATATATGTATATATGTATGTATGTATGTATGAGAGAGAGAGATCTATCTCCTGATTATATAGTTGAGGTAACTGAGACAGATGGAGGTTAAATGATTTGTCCAAAGTCATACAGCTACTAAATATCTGAGGTCAAATTCAAACTCAGGTCTTCCTGACTCCAAACCCAGAGCTCTATGTATCCACTGTGCCCTTTAACTGCCTCAAAGAGAAAAAAAAGGAAACAACAAATCAGCTTGGTCTGCAGTCCAAATAGGTTTCAGCAATGTAGCATTGTCCCACCACCATTCATGTAGGGTTTCCCCACACCACTTTGCAGTCTGACTCCCTGGATCTGCTGCTCCTGGCTGCTATACTTCTATTTATTTCCTCCTCTTCCTCCTAAGGCTTCTCCTCTTCCCAAAAATGGGGAGGGCGGTAAGGGAGAGGGTCTTGTCAATTAGCCCAACCCTTCACTAGTCTCAATATCAGGGCAAAACTCCGATTGGGAAGAGGAGGCTGAAAGATTTCCAACTGATGCAGAAGGCGTATTATCTCCAGTAGCTTGATTTTCTTGGTGATACGAGTACGAGGCATGACCAAGACAAAACTACGAGTGTAGCACTGCAAACCCTGAATACGATTAATGTGAGAGTACTATTTTATGTTTTTTTCCTTGCCTGCCTAAATAAATATTTACCAAAAGATGGATCACCTAATACTCCCAGCTAGTGAGAATATTGCTGTAAGGTCAGCTGACTGACACTGATTGGAAAAGTTTGCTTATGATGTTGGTCTTTCTTCTTAGGAAGAAAGTCCATATAGGTTGGGTGTGAGAGAGAGTAATTCATGCCCTGAAATTCAGGGGCCTTCCTTGCCCCAGGTTCTGGGGACCTGCCCAAATAGGGGGGAGAGGGGAAACAGCAGGTTGAGGGTAGAGAGCAAGCTGTGGGTGTAACAGTGGAGAAGGGTGGGGACTCTTGGGGTTCCTCTGTGTCAAACACAGGAAGGAAATGCAACCCCACACCCATTGTTGTTGTTGCTGTTCAGTCGTGTCTGCCTCTACGACCCCATTTGGGGTTTTCTTGGCAAAGATACTGGAGTAATTTGCCATTTTCTTCTCCAGCTCATTTTGCAGATGAGAAAACTGAAGCAAATGGGGTTAAGTGACTTGCCTAGGGTCATAGAACTAGTGAGCGTCTGAGATTGAATTTGAACTCAGGTCTTCTTGATTTCAGGCCTGGTGCTCTATCCACTGAACAACCTAGCATGCCCCCCACCCATGTTCCAGGAGAAAAGCCAGGATTAACCTCATCCTAGTTATGATCTTGCAATAATGAAATGGAGAACACTAAAATACAACTCATTGCAAGCAATCTCATTCCCAGAGAACCCAACTTCTCCCATCCGAGAGTTGGAGGATTCCAGGTGTGGAATGTTGGCACCCGCTTTCCGATATAGTTATTTTTCTTTGTTACAAAGAAAGGTTCGGTGTGAGGGATGGATTGAAAATAACTGATGTTAAATATAAAAGAAGTCAATAAAAGCTCTGCAGGAAACTAACTTGGCCTACTCTTTCTTACAGTGCCTCCGGCCCCCAGAATGACCTCTGTCCCTTCCCTTAGAGCACCTTAGCAGGGGCTGGAAAAATAAACAGACGAAATGATTTCTTATTCAACTCTTGTCTCTTGTCTCAACTCTTTTAAGAGGATTGATTTATTAGCCTGCCAAAATACAGGCAGTGAGGATAACGAAATTAGGTGTTTAAGACCTTCCCTTATATTACAACATTCAACTGAAGGAAGACCTGAGTTCATATCTATCTATCCATCTATCTATCCATCTATCTATCCATCTATCTATCTATCTATCTATCTATCTATCTATCTATCTATCTATC